GGACACCTGGCAAATGCAAGTTTGCCAAACCTTGGAAGCTGCCTGACAATCACGGACAGGTACCGCCGGCTTCTGCCGAACCAGCAGCACCACCGCCCGAGGCGCAAGCCGCGCCACCTTGCGCGGCTACGAGCACCAAGACCCGGGTCTAGAGCCGGACCCACGGCGGGCGCCAGCAGCCACGACATTACAGCAGGCAGACATGCTGCTGAACCTGCTGCAGGGCAACCTGCCTCGAGTGGAGCTGGGAGCTCGGATGGCCACATCCGACTGCCACAGGTCAGAGTCAGACGTTGCCGACAGCAAGGAGGAGATCCACCTCCACCGCCACCAGCAAGTAACCCTGCTGCACGACCACGACTTCCAGACTGGTCAAGGTTCGGCGTACAAATAAGTTTACAAAACGTACGAAGCCTTGACCCATGCGTGGTAACACGCAAGCTGCGGAAGCTACACTTGCGATGGTTCCATGCGAAAGAGCCAAGATGAGACTCGTCTTAACCAAGATAGGTCTGGACAGCGTCCGACTCAACCGGATTAAAAGTGTCTGCGACACACGTCGGGCGCGCAGGGCTTGGGACAAGTCTGGGCATACGGTTATGTCATATACTGCACTGCCTGGCAAGTTCAACGAAGAAGTTGAATGTGACTTTGTGTTCTACAAACAAGAACGTAAGATGTTTCATATGGTCGATCGTTGGGTTCGATATGCGACTGGAATGGAGATACTTGACAAGATGATGACCAGTATCTTGGATGCATACCATCAGTGCTGGATGCAGTTTAGACTTGCAAAGGCACTCTACTCCGATGGAGAGGGCGCCCTCAACAACGACACTGCGAAAACAGTCCTTCAGGCAGGGGGCGCTGAACTAGGGACACGTGCGTGTGGGCAACACGCTACGACGATCGAATCCAGAAATGGCAGATTGCGCCATCTGTTTCATGTCATGGAAGTTGAACTCAACAGGTTAGACATACCTCCTGTGTTTACACGACTATTGCATGAGGCCGCGTTCGCCGCCAACGCGTTCACTTTCTATAAGGAGGTGTATCCATACACCTTGCGTGGACGGCAACTGGCAATGCTCTCTGACTTGCCAATCCTGGATCACGAACAGCCGACGGAAACGTCTGATCATTCTCATGAACAAATGCTACGCAAAGTATGCATTGAAGCTATCACACAGGCCACTACAGTAGCCAAGACCAATCGTGCATTACGCACTAAGACAACTGTCACCGGTCAGCATTACTACGACGAAGGAGATATACTTGATTACCATCGCCCCACAACTACGAAGGACGACTGGGGAGGCTGGAATGGCCCACCCCCAGTCGTAAGAAACGGTCCCGAGAGGGGTCAAGTCATCATTCGAGTGGGAAACCGCGACGTTCAGGTACAATACGGCGATGCACGACATTCAATATATATATATATATATATATATATTGAAGCTTTGATAGCCAGAGAGGTTGGCTCCGACATCATTGCCTTGCGGACAGTGTTGACGTTCGTGGCCGGTTTAGCTGCGGGGGGACCTGCTATGACATTGGGCTGTGTCCCGACCACGATGGGGGCGCCTCAGATGACAAGTGCCAGCCGACCTATCTCCTATGGTACATCTGGCTTTACAATACCTCATCAGGAAATTCGTCCGCATTGAGAACGTAGCTTCGGTCAGGTTAGCAAAGAGCTCCCATAAGCTATCTCCGGTTGCTTGCGCTGACAGTTGCACGTTGGTCCACTATGACAACGATTCGAATCCAGGAATATTCTTCTGAGGCAGAATGCACCGCTCTTATGATTCACGATATAACTGGTTCAGCACATTCTAGAATCATCCAGTACCTGAAGTCCACCAAACCTCAAGCGGGCTTTGACCAGGATATGACAAAGTTTGAGGAATTGGCGGATGCACCGACACCGGATGGAACCGCAAGAGAAGCCCCAGAAACCGAACCTCCAAAGGAGGATGGACGGCTTCCCACGATTTATGAGGAATCGGAGGCTGAGCTCGAGGCACACGTTATGGAAGTGTGGTATACAGAACTACAAGATGAAAAGGGAACTACTGGAGGCAACTCCACTAGTACCCACACAGATGATTCCAGACAGTAGTGCGCTGATCACTGTAGCCGAAGAACAGCGGGGACACTGCCTAAGTGGGGACACCCACACTCCGACATCGAGGAGACGTATGATGTCCCAGTCTGATCCACGGTCGAAGATTGCAGTTACGGACTGGACTCAAACGAAATGGGCAATATGTAGAACTCTGCTTCGCAGCAGAAATGTCGAAGGTAGCCTTGTCCGAACAACACCACAGGATATTAGATGCCGACCGTGTGACCACCATGCGAGCATATGTTGCCGCCGCTGCAAAGCGAGCTGCGGTCGTCAAGGAAGACGACCTCCTCGCGAAGGCTGACGTCCAGGCAAATCCCGAGAAAGTATCGAAAGCCCCATACACTGATTTCAAGACATGGTTTGACAACAAGTGCTGCAACATGCAAGATATCTCTAAAGCGTCCAACATCACGACTCCGAGTCACGCGTGCAAATTGAAGTTTTTGAACAACGAGAAGGGCGAAATGGAACGCACCATCACATTGCGCTCGGCACTTCGAGGCCCCGTGGACCTTGATGCTTTTGATGCGGACGCCTTTTCGGGAACAGCACGGCGGCCAGGCCAGAGTCTACTCGCGAGCACGGCAGCGCGCAAGAAGCAATGGACCATTGCCTCCCTCGACATCAACATGGCCTTCCTGGGAGAGTTGGCCCACCAACAACTTGCTGGGGCAACTGGTGAAGAAGGAACGCGCGGTGCGTTTTACCCCGCCGCCTGGATCGGCCACGGCGGTTAGAACCTCCCCAGGGCTCGAACACTACGACGAGTCGAAGCACTGCTTGCAGTGCCTTAGGCCAGGCCCTGGCACCAAAGACGCACCCCGAGCTTTTTCACTAAAGCTCAGAAGGACCACGAGAGGTCTCGGTCTCAGACCCACGCCCTACGACGAGGAGCTCGAAACCAGCAGCAACCTGCTTACGGCCAAACATGTTCATGATATCAATATGGTCAGCACTGAGGACACTATTGACACGCATCTCGAGTGCGTAGAAGACACCTTTGGCAAGTGTAAACTCAAGCACACATGCACCAATTGTGCTGTGAGATATCCCAATCATCAGGGCGGCAGTGCCACTTTGGACCAAGACGAATGCATCAAGCAGCTCTGTCCTATACAACATCCTGAACTTACCGGCGCCGACGCTGACGCTCAGGCATCCAAGATGGTGGCAGACGTGTTCGTCAGCCTTAGAGGCGCACTGGCGTATGCATTAACCACCCAGGTGTGGTTGACGGTGCATGTTGTTTCTCTACAGCGTGTCTCAGGACCGACCGATGTACAAGTGCGACGACTGAGCGCGACCACCAGGCAACTGCAGGCCTGCCTTCTAGGAGCCTACCAGGCGATGACCCCCACGGGCGAGGTTGACCTGCACAGCGACTCAGGTTACCAACGCCTGGGTGGAGACGCCGACGACGCAGTCAAAGGCTATGATACTCGCGGGGCAAACCTGCTACGGCGTGGAAGCACACCATCTGGTAGGCCCGTCGTTCACTTGATCGATGCGCACTGCAAATCTTACCGCTTGCAGGTCCGCTCGAGCTACTCAGCAGAGACACCTATCCCAAGATTGTGACTCTGTACGAGCTCCATGCAGGGCCGCTAATCCCCACTCAGTTGAAAGACGTACTAGTGTTGGGTGGCCGAGCATCAAGGTCATTTTGACCATGGATGCTGCATCTGCGTTTAAGTCCTTGTCAAGCAAAGACTTGAAGAAGCCGACTGAGTGCGCCCTTTTAGGACACATCAGCTGGATACGACAGATATGGAGCGAGGAATCGTGCACAGTATTCAGTGGTGTGATACCCGCGATATGACTGCGGACGGTCACGCCAAGAGGAGCATCGACAGAGAAATGCTCCGACAGGTCATGGGAGGCACACAGTCCTTCAAACATGATTTAAAGCGTCAAACTCCCGATCGCGCTGGCCAGACATCTCGTTCTGTAGCCGCCTGAGGAGTATTCGTATGCACGGTACAGCGCAGGCAAGGCAACTTGCGTGCGGGTCCACTTTTTTTCACGGCCCCGCCTCTTTGCTGCCCTTAAAATTGTCGCTGCTGTACCTGCTGTATAGAGGCGGCGGGTTCACGCTTCGTCCCCCTCCCCCCCGACCCTAAAGTGAGGTGGGCGTTGCATGTGAGTGGGGACGAGTGCGCATCCGCGGCTGCTTGGCTCAAAGCGGCCGGCCGCCCAGATCTGACTGCACCTCAGCGCGAGGCGTGCCATTTGCTATCGATACCAAAACTGTTTGAGATGGCTCGCCCCCTACTACTGGGACTATCGTAACGACGGTGCAACAGAGCGGGAGCTGGGCTTCGCCTGAGGCGAAGCTGCCGGTTGGGCCCCCCGACCCCTTTCAAACTGGGGGGCGTGGAGGCGCTCCGAAAAAACCGTTGCGTTTCGGGGGCGGACCGAACCCAGGAGGAGGAAAAAACACGCAGACACAACCAATCGCCGATTCCCCCGAAAATATTGGAAAATATTGGAATTGGGTGGGCGACAAAAACCCAGAAAGTATGGAACTGATAAGGGGATCATGTTATTGGTGTCTAGTGACTTGTGTGTCCCAGGGCCCTTTTCAAGAACCCCCACCCTGACGCGTCGATTGGTGAATGGTTCGTTTTCGGTTCTCGAAGGGGCACCGCGGCCGTCATTTTCCAGGCTGGCGCCCGCCAGGCTTAGGCCCGAAGTCGCGTTCACAAGCCGCGCTTTGTTAAAAGGGGGGCGCTGTCCATCCCCGAGGTTTGCCCCGAGCCGATGCTGGCCCTGCCTCGGCCTCGGCTCCGCGGCCCGGGGGCCAAGCCAGCGGGGGGGGGACAGGCTCGGGGGCAGACGCAGCGGCCCCCGGAACGCCCACCCAGCGCCGATGGGGGTCCGCCGTCCCATCCCGCTCGGGCGCGTGCGCACCTCAAGGTTTGGCGCCCCCTCCTTGGGCATTGGTGACAGCAGTGGTGAATTGGCGACCTGCAAAGATTATCGCATCTTGCCGCCGACGGAAGGATCGGAACGGAATTGGGCAACAGGATTTCCGCAGCGGGCAAAGATTTCAAGATTATTGGTTGATATGGTCTCATTCGTCTCTGTCTCGGAGGAAGAAAATCAAGATCTTCGAATCACGTGTGGCTTCCAGATTATGATACAGCGCGTTTGCCGCTGGCATGAAAAAGACAGAGCGGAGGAGGCTGGACAGTTCTTAGGAATCCAGCCAGCATGCGACAGCAGAGTGTCAAATGCAACCGTCCTGGCAGTGGCAGGCCGGAGGCTTATTGGCGAAACCGTCATCAAGAGGCAGATGCTCTTCATGGGCCAGCTGGCGCGACGCCCCGACAGTGACCCTGTCGGGCAATATGGTTTTCAGCCAGGCGGCATAGATCTTCGGCCCCCGCCCTGACCTCGGCGACGAGGGCGCCCCAGGCAAGCGCGGGGAAGCGTGGTTGTCCGAAATTGTCTTGAAGTCGCTGGTTCCCACGACGCGCTGTCTGCATACTTTCACCCGTCAGGTGGGGCGGCAGCATCGTGGGAGTCGGCAGCGAGATCTTGGTGCCCGATTTCCGGGTAGCACCGCAATTCGACATCGCGGCGCCTTGTTCCACCTTGCTCGCGCGCCGTCTGGCGCTACGTAGGCTTCTCGTTCCTTCGTTCGTTCGTTGGATGCGAATCCAGCCTCGCCAGATTCTCTGCCTGTCTACCAAATGTTTTACTACAGCGGAGCACGTTTTGCCGTGGCCGCGCGGATCCAGTAAGTTTCAGTCATGAACTCTTGCTACATACGCATTACCCACCAAGCAAGTTGGCGCGACAGGCTACCAGATGCAATGCACTTCTCCCGATGGTACCATCAGCGAGAGAGTAAAACAAAAGCAGGAGCTACCCACGGAGCAGGCGGCCCGATGCAACATGTTGATGAGGGTGATGGTGATGGTGGTTGTGATGATAATTATGAGTATGATGATGATGATGATGATGATGATGATGAGTCTCCGAATAGGCTTGCCCTACAGGAGTTCTAACTCAAACCCTACTAATTGGTCCGTTCAACCCCAAAAAATATCCTATGCCCCCCCCCCGCCCCCCCTAATTTCCAATGGCCCCCCCCCCTCCCTCCCTTTTCCAATGGCACCCCCCCGTATTTCCAATGGCATCTCCCAGCTACTTACAATGGCGAGTCCCATGGATTCCTGTGGATTCCTACGAGTCGTATGTATTCCTATCCTTCGGATCCTGAGCTAAGCTTCCTATGGATTTCTATGGCTTCCTTTCCTCCCGTCCTCTCCTCCTCGTCTTCTCCTTCTCTCGCTCTTCTCTTGTTCATCTATCTAGTTGGAGTCAACGCTGGCTGATGTATGATGATGGTGATGATAATGATGATGCTGATGCTGACATTGATGATGATGGAGGAGGGAAGGAGGAGGATGAGGAGGAGGAAGATCTAGGGAAACGCGGGTTGCTGCCCCGACAAAACAAGGACCCATCACAGGATGATTGCGAAAGAACGCCATTTGCGTTGGAGGAGGGGGATCAACACTAATTATTCAGAAGTGAGAATTCAATAATTGTAGTGTCCCACGCGAGTTTGTAATGCCAGCCCGTCCGATAGGCCGTCACCTCTGGGGCTATCTTCGCTCAAGCCTTTTTAGCCCGCGCCCCCCGGCCGCGGGTTTCCACCAGGTCTGCGTTGCATGTGGTGGGGCAGCTGGCTCAGGCGGCGATCCTGGGTCGACGAACATGGGAAGGCCCTGGCTGGGGCGTTGCCCAGCTTGCCCGCCTACCGCCGCCTGCGCGCCGCCTCCTGCCTACCCTGTGCCTACCCTGAGCTGCCCGCAGGTGTCGCTCACCTGCCCCTCCGCGCAGCCGGTCAGCTGCCCGCAGGTGACGCGCGCGCTGCCGCCGTGTCCGGCGCGCGAGGCGCCCGAGCGGGAAGAACCGCCTCCCTGCCCCTCGCCTGCCCGCGAGGCCGCGGGCAACGTCGAGGCGCTTGGGAGGTGCGCCCCGCTGTGGCTTGCCGGGGTGCTTCTGGCGCTGAGCTGCTGCTGCGGAAGCGGCTGCTCGCTGGGCGCCTCCCAGCTGTGCCGGAGCCGTCAGAGCCATGTTGGCCCCGGCATCATCGTCCGATCTGGTACTGGGGGAGCTGATCCTAGTCCGATGCGGGGGAGCCGCGCTCTGGCATGAGGCGCCTCCTCTGCTGGCCGCTCCCCCCGAGGGCTTCGGGCGTCGTGGGCTGGATTGTCAGCACGCCCGACGCCGACCAGTACGTGGAGTCGATCGTGGGGGGCGATCCCAGTGATTGCCCCGTGGAGTGGATTCGTCGGGCTGCCGATGGCCGTCTGCCTCGCGGGTTCTGAGACGACATCTACACTTTCGCTGTCGGCGAGCTGGGCGACGAGCACCTTTGCACCGAGATCACGTGCGCGGCCACCTCCGCGGACAAGATCGCGCGGGGGACCGACGAGGCTCCCGCCACATGCCAGATCGTGCGTCTTGCCAGTGGTCAGCTCGCGGGCATTGAGGATCCCCTCGGTGGCACCTTCATCCGGCCCGCTCTTCGGGCGCACGATGGAGGCTCCGCGGCGTCACGCCAAGGCGAGTCAGGAGCTCTGGTGTCTGGTGGCGGGCGGCACTCGCACGCCTGAGACTGGGGCCTGGTGGGCCGCCGAGTCGGACAACGCTCTGGGGTGCGAGCTTGGGAGAGAGGTGAAGCCCGTGACGGTGTTGGTCGGCATGAAGGGCGTCTTCTCATTGGACGGCAAGGACGGGGTCTTTGTGGAGTAGTACACCAGCGAGGAGCCGCTGGACTTTGTGGCGCGCCTGTCGCGCCGCATGAAGGCCGACGCGCCTGCCCCGCCGGCAGACGCCCGGACGCCCCCCGCGAGGCACGGCGCCAGAGGCAGGGGGCGCGACTGGAAGGACGTGGTCGACAGCCGCCAGTTCGAGGAGTTCGAGGATTTCCCGGTCAGCGGCCCAAGGGGCATGACGCGGTGCTTCTCGTTCTTGCGGCGCCGCCACACGCCCTTGGACCACCATCCGATTTTTCGCAGCACCTGCTTCTGAAGCCCGAGCAGTGGGGCGTGGCAGAGCACGAGACGCCGCCGCGCATCATCGAGCTGGCTGGCAGCACGACCATCTCGACATCGGCAACCTCGCGTGCACAGAGGCGGCGATTCGCCGCGCGCAGACGATTGAGTGGGCCTACCACGACAAGACCAGGGAGACAGATGCTGGCTCGAATAGCCGCCCGTCGATCGAGGAGGCGACCGCCTTCTCCGGGCTGAGCCGCGCGGGGGGCCCACCGATGGCGGCGCCGTCGCTCTTGGATCACGCGAAGGCCAGGTAGAGGAGGATGCCGCCATCATGAAGAACATCCGGAAGGCAAAGGAGGAGCGCGAGCCCCGCCGCAAACAGAAGGATAAGCTGGGGTGAGAGCCCCCGGGGGGGGAGGGGCGGTAGCAAGCTCGCCCTCTTGCCCCGGCCCCGCCATCAAGCTTGCTGCATGACGAACTTGGTGAAGGGCGAATTCACATGCCTCCTGGTCTCGGGCCGCCTGGGTTTTGGAGGCGCTCTTCGGAGCCGCTTCAATCAGACGGCCCTCGACAGCGTGATGCGTTTCCCGTGCCCCTACTGGCTGGGGGCGACGCGGTGCCACCTCCTCGGTCCGCCGGGCCTTGTCGTCGCGTTCGTCGGCGGGTACTTCGGCGCCAAGCGATCATTGGCATCGCGAACCTGGCCCCCTCCACCCTCAACGAGCTGGTGGGATGCCAGCAGGGGCCTTCTGCTGGAGTCTCGCGCCAGGGTGGCGCCCCGCAGGCGGTGGTGCAGCGTCGCGCATTTGGCGCCGCCGCAGCGACGGGCCCGCCCCCGCCTCTCGCGCCCTCGGGAGCCCCGCAGGAGCTCCGAGGGCGCGCGGTGCACGAGGACTCCCAGTCCACCGTGGTGCCCTACGACGAGTCGAAGGCCTCGCTGCCAGCGAGTGGCAACCGCCCTGCACCGTTGGCAGATCTTTTTGGGGTCGGTGGAGATGCTGAAGTCGACGGGTTTATTGGTGCTCATCTTTTCGAATATGCAGCATCAGACCACAACCTCCAGAGCGCCCCTCGGGAGACGTACATGCACGATGTGCTACGTAACTCGCCGCAAGAGTACCAGAAGCTGATCTAGAGGCTCGAGAAGGCCGGCATGATCGACTACATCGTTCAGCCTCTGGAGTTTTGTTCCTCGTTCTTCGTGAGGAAGAAGGGCCGTCAGCGCCCGGCGATCGATTGCCGCCGATCGAATTGCCGGTTCTCTCCCGCCGACCCCGTCGAGCTGAGCACGGGGGTTGGACTTGGGGGCCTGGAGGTGTCCGCGGGGAGCACGCTGCATGTTGGCCACGTCGACATCAAAGATGCGTTCTACCACTTTGAGCTGCCTGAGAGGCTCAGAGGGCACTTCTCGCTCCCGGCAGTTCCAGCTTGGGTGGCAGGCCTATCGGAGGTGGATGGCCTGCGGGTGGGCCCTAACTCGCGCGTGTATCCCAAGCTCCGCGTGCTGCCGATGGGGTGGTCTCATGCATTGGTTTTGTCAGACTCTGCATCGGCGTATCATCCAGGACACCCCAGGTCTCAGTTCCGAGCTATTCCTTCATGATCGAGGGCCCCCGCCTGCGACCACCCCAGCATGCCTTACAGTCTATGTAGACCGTTTTCTTGCCCGGGGCACCTGTCGCTCGACAGATGCGAGAATGATGCGCCAGGTGGACGAAGCGCTGCGATCCCGAGGCCTCCCCTACACATGAAGGCGCAACATGTTCAAAGGTTGAGGATGTGCTTGGATGGGAGATTAACGGCAGGCACGGCTTCACCCGACCTCGGCCAGACTGCGCATGGCGCATCCGTCCGGCGATCGAAGGACTGCTCGAACACAAGAATGCGCCCGCTCGGGACGTCGAGAAAGTGGTTGGACACTGTACTTGTCTTGCTCTCCTCTGCCGCACGTCGCTACCCATCTTTCGGTCTGTCTATACGTTCATAACTCGTCATCGTGAACAGGGGGTCGTCGCTCTCTGGGATTCGGCTCGATGGGAGCTGGAGGCGCTCCAGAACATCATTCCCTTGATCCGTCGTGACTTTGGAGCGTCGTGGAGTTCTAAGGTCGTCGCGTCGGACGCGCCCTTGCGGGGCTACGGCGTCGCATCTCGTGATCTCCCTCGGGATGTTGTTCATCAGCTTGGGCGAGTCAATGAGCATTGGAGATTCTCGGGATTGGCCCACATCAAGTTTCGACAAGGGGTTCTGGAGCCCCAGGGGGATCTCGACAGGGGCGACTGGGCGATGGAGGTGGAGGAGAACATGCAGGAGAGGGCCACAGCTAGGTCGGACCCACCGGATATCTTGAAGGATCGGGGGTGGGCTGTCATCA